TCAACTCCCAGAATTCCCTAGCCAGCATGGCTGGCTGGGGAATTCTGGGAGTTGAAGTCCTCACAGCTTAAAGTTGCCAAGTTTGAAAAACACTGCCGTAAAGGAGGAAAGATGGGGTCCTAAATGAAATCTTGAGATCTAACTTCTGACTCCCCACATCCCTTAAGCACAGTTCAGCTGTGGGACTTTGTCCACATGTAGGGACAACTACAACTTGGATACTCCAAAGTGGGAATTAGATAAAATCATGGATAATTTATTCATGTATTTGATTTTGATTCTGCCTTAATTTTTGCTCAGCTCAAGGCAGCCTACTTAGCTAATGTTCCTACTTCCTATTTTCCCTACAACAACAATTATGTTGATATAGGTTGGCTGAGGGAGAGTGACTGGTCCAAAGCCACCAGCCAGCAGGAGCTACTGGGCTTCATGGCTATATATTTCCTCCAGAGTCATGGCTGCACAGCACTTTGGATTCAGCCCCCCAAAGATGCACTGGAGCATGGGAGACTGGGAACCCAGCACCCAATCTGCAGTGCCTTAAAGCAAAAAGCACAGCTGCTCTATTGGCTGTTCTATTCATGCTCCAAAGTACCCACCAAAGACAGAATGTAAAGGGTGGGATAACTTTAGCCAGTGCACCTCCTAATCTAAACCGGAGAATGTTACTGCCCTGACATCCTGCTTAGAGATTTTCCACTGGAATCTTGGCTGGGGGAAAACTGTCCTGTTCTGAATAACCCAGTGGTGTGATACTATAGGGCTCCTGTGTTTTCCTAATCTTCGAAAACCAGAAGCTAAAGGAGCCATTACAAAAGAAGGCCATTTAAATCACCCGGCTGGATTATCTGTTTGTTATTTCCTAGCTGTTGGCTCAAAGCTCATTCCGTAGGCCACACAGTTGGCCCTGTGGATACAAGTATACCTGAAAACAGCCTGGGGAGGGATGAATGGTTTATTAAATCATAACTTACCTAATAAAGCTCCACCTGTATTTGCCACACCTAAGGAAAGATAAAAAAGAAGGTGAGGCGTAATTTCAAAAAGTATTTGATGCTTCCAGCCTGACGTCTTTTCTGTTGTCTCTGGCTCCATCAAGCGCATCACCATTTTCTTTAGACTCTCAGTAGTTTCTTCCTCTGAATCCTCTGAATCTATCACTCTGCTTTCCCTTCAGGGAGTCCTCTTCACCTTCTTTATAGGGAAGTTTCCTTGAACAATTATAATTCCTCTAACTTGACCCTCTGCTGACATTCATTGTTGGCCAACCCAAAGAGGATCAGAACTTATTCCTTCCCCCAGCTCCTTCCACTCAAATCTCTCTGATAAAATCATCAGAAGGGAAAGGATGTTTCTCTGAGATTTCATCACTACCTATAGGCAGTCCATTCACACCCTGCAGGAAACCCTGGGTGTCATCCAGATCTTAAGGGATCATATTAAGAAGGCAGGGGCACATGATTTTCACTGCTTAACACAGATTAGTTAACTTATTCATGCTCTTTAATTATTCTTGGCCAATGGGAATTACCTGCCAGGATGGCTAGAGACTGTTTCAACGGCTGCAGTAATCTGTGTTAATCCAGACCTTCACAGAATGTCAGAATCTTTGCAATTAAGAAAACTGGGTTCAAGACCTCATGCTGACCAGTCTCTGGCAACCTTGCCTTCACATGATATTTTGTGCTTATATAACTAGAGGTCTTTTTCCTGATTTTGTACAAAACAAGGATCTTAGAAGGAGCTAACTGAACATGACTGATCTCAAAAGATAAGAAGGATTAAGCCAGGTTAATATTTGGATGGGAGCCCAACCAGAAATCCCAGGGCATAGTCTTCACTGGGAAGTTGGAAAAACATCCCTGAAATGGAAAGCTACTTCCAGATTGTTGCCAAGAAAATTATATGGACCCAACCATGAAGTCATCAGGAGTCCCTACTTGACTTGATACGTATTTTATATTAGAAAGAAGTAATTTAATCTCACCAAACAATAAACCAGCACATGAAGGAGCCAGGTCCTGAATATTGACTGAGATGCCACTGCACAAAAAATAAAGATGTCTTACAACCAAATCTCAATGAGCAATTAAATTGGCAACATTTGGAAAGAGTTAAAATCTGACAGCTGTATTTGTAGGCCTACCTGTTGAGTTATCTTTGTAGTAGAAAGTAGCTTTCCTTAGCTCAAGAGAAGATTAATCTCAGGCTGTAAGGCTACAAATGACCTTACAAATTTGCTACCCCCAGGCCATCACTGATAGTATTTGCTAAAATTTAGAGGCCCAGTTGTCTGCCATTTGGTAGAATGGACTATGCAAAAGCTTAGGGTATGTCCCTAAAACAGACTTGAAAGATAAAAAGGTCCTCCATTTGAATTCAACCCCTGGGGACATGATGTTGTTTTCCTAAAAAAAAGGTCCCACCCCAATCACATGAAAAATTTGAAAATGAGAACACCAACTATGTATTTGACATAACTTTGTCCTTCAGTGATGATCCTCATGGCCACTGGGTCCCCCCAGCTTCACAAAAAAATGATTGCCCACCCCAGCTTAGATAACTGCTTCTTGCATCCTTCCTCCAAGGAACATAGTATCACCTTTCTTCACATCTGCCTCACATCTGTGAGGTAGAGTGGACAAAACAATAGCAACTTACTTGTGTCCAGCCAAGCAGAGACATGAATTTATGTCTCTCCAGCCTTGGCCCAGACACCAAGGCTTTACATCAATGTTTTTCAAACTTGGCAACTTTAAGATGTGTGGACTTCAACTCTCAGAATTCCCTGGAATTCTGGGAGTTGAAGTCCACACATCTCAAAGTTGCCAAGTTTGAAAAGCACTGCCTTACATTAAGAGGGTGTGCTGTTACCTGTGATTGAAAGTCTGAAGTCCAATACTAGCTGAGGCAAAGACCACTGCTTGGCAAAAGTTGGAGGAGTAGCCTATCCCTAAGGCAAAGAGACTGGATACCCCTGAGCCAATGACCTCAAAGGAAATCAAAAGACAGAAGTTTAGTTGATGTACTGGCTATTATTTATTTACTTCCCTAAGCTTATACGCCATTCCAATCATGCCTGACTCTGAGCAGCTTGCAGACCTCTGGAAGAGTAATAAGCTTAAAAACTGAATCTAACATTAATAAATAACTCCCCAAGCACCATGGAAAAAAAAATCAGCACAATATTGTCCAGAAGAGATTACAGTAAGAGAGATATGAAGACAGGAACAGAAGGTATAATGGGATATGAGAAGGGCCTTGAGGAACAGGAGGAAGAGCTGCAGCCAAGGCAATGATCAGCTAAGAGAAATCTGAGTCCAAAGCAGGAATGGAATTTGAGAAAGCGTCTCAGGGAGAGAATTTGACCCTCCCTAGTTCTCTTTAGGATAAAGCCAGGGACGGGGGAGGCACATTCAAAGTTGCAAGATTCTGTTACTGAAATAAGAGTTTCAGGATTCATGACTTTGGCATTCAAGTCTGGTCTACTACAAAAGGCTGAAAAAAGGGCTCTGATCCTCAACACAGGGGCAGCCCAAGTGGATTTACTAGGTGATGGAGGACAACCTACCCCTGCATACTGTCTCTCAAGGGTTGCTACCCTAGTGGCAAAAGAGCTGCTATGTGCCCTTCAGCAGGCCACCAGAGGTCTTGGTCTGATGCATGGGGAGCTGGCCATGGTGACTCTCCATGCAAGCAGAGATCAAAGCTGCCCCCCCTCCTTTGACTTGGAGGACTTCTCTCAGCAGCACAGATGAGATGTTGGTCAGAGCACAAGCCACCCTAGGCATCCTCTCTATGAGCAAAAATTGCCGCTGAGCCCTACATGCTGTTATGTTTTTAACTGTGATTTTGGTTTTGGTTTTCAACTTGTGACTTTATATATGACGATTTGTGAGAAACTCGGAAGCAGGCGGGGAGGACATGTTACGGTTGGTGTGAGAAAAGGCAGCAAAGCCTAGATGTGAGGGCCATAGGAAGGAAATCTTTCAAAGAAAGTCTACCTTAATGGGTTGGGAATTTACCCTTACAGTTTTCAAGATTGTGTTTTCATCCCTGATGTAGAGAGGAAGGAAGATGACCTTGCCAGAAGTATGCAGGAATTGTTCCCCAGGTAAGAGGGACTGAAACATTTTTCAAGTCCAGAATAATAAAATAACATTTGGAAGCATCCCTAATTCACTGGAGTATAAGAAAAAGAAGGTTAGTTAGTATAGATAACCTCAATAAAAGAGATTATGTGGAGTTGATTTCCTGGTCTGGTCTACCTAGTGGGGCTGATATCAATCAAAAAAAGCTTCAGCTCTTTTGCATAGGCAAAAGGTCCTGTATATCTCCATCAAGGTCATCTTCCTTCCTCTCTACGCCTGACTAGTATTAAAGATGCCTCTCTGAAAGCTGCATGGTTCTCGCTACTTGTGTTTGCCAGCTACGTAATCCTCTTTTACTGTAAGCCACCATAAGTCATTCTGATTTGGTGGTATATAAACCTAGTAAATAAATAAATAATACAAAAAAGGCCCCAGATTGTTCTATGAGTCATATAACTAAGGATACCAAAGTCTCACAAGGCCCCCCTATCATTGGCACCCATGGAGATAGCCTTTCGTTCTTTCTCTGTAACAATATTAGAATATTTTTTTCCCCTTACCTGCATAAACTTTCGAGCAGTGATTGGTTTGCACCCTAAAAGCAGAAAGAGAAACCATCAACTGATCAGGACAGCTCCGTTGTTCATTGCTGGCGAGGTCTTTTGCCAGCTATTTTGGACAAATCCACCACATAATATTGCCACAGATATTTGTAAACATTTTAAAAGAAAGCACATACTTTTAAAGATAGATTTTCTCCAGGATGATTTAAAAACAAAGAGGAATACAATTCTGGAAGACAGTGTAAAAACTAGGGCTATGTATCCCTTTGGAGATGTGGTTGCTTTAAAGAGCTCTTGAGGTGTGCCAGATTTGTACCACCTGCGTATTCTGATGTACCAGTTTGAAACTGCATCTGAAGTGTTGCAAAACCTTAGTAGAAACCATGTTTAATTCTCTTTTGCTTTTGCTATTTGTCATATCCTATCCTTCATCCACCCCTCCTCACCCCAGTTAGAAGCAACATTCCTGCACATTTTGAAGTGCCAAGAAATAAAAATTAAGGAGAGAAACATTAAACCACTGCAAATCAACAACACTGTTTTCCAACATTCTATATGTAAACAGTAACAACATGTCACTGTTGTGTTCTGAATGGACAACTCAAAACTAAAAGAATAAAGAACAAAGTACCTTGATTGATACACTGATCGGAGAGGAATCCAGCAAACAAACTAGTTGGAATTGCCACCAGCCAAGGAATTACATTAAAAATCCAGCCCTGGAAGGAAGATAGAAACAAGTATCTGCAGAGCTTCCATGTTAATAAATGCCAAGAAAAAAATCACTTAGGGTCAGTTAAAAGCTTAAAGCATTCACTACGTTGATTGATTAAGTGCCATCAAGTCGTTTTCAACTCCTAGTGATCACATGGATAGATTTTCTCCATGATGATCTATCCCTAACCTCACCTTTCAGGTCTCTTGATGGTGTACTCATCACTCCTCCATTCACTTTGCTGCTGGTTGTCCTCTTCTCCTCTTTCTTTCCACCTTTCCCAGCATTACAGCCTTCTCCAGGGAGCTGGGTCTTCACATAATATGTCCAAAGTAGGATAATTTGAGCCTGATCACTCATGCCTCAAGCAAGAACTCTGGGTTGATTTGTTCAATGATCCATTTGTTTGTTACCTTGGCTGTCCACAGTATTCTCAGGAGTCTTCAAAAGTGTCAATACTCTTCCTACTTTGCTTCTTCAAAGTCCAACTTTCACTTCCATAGTCTCACAAGGAATACCATGGCTTGCACCATTCTGACTAGGTATTTAGGTTATGGAATATAGGAGATGTCTTTACACAACAAACTAGGCTAAGCCTAATGGTTTAAGCTGTTTTGAGTTTTTTGTGGTTCAGTGTGTTGTAGGAATCCAGGCCTTAAACATCTTGAAGACCACACTGATATAACCCAGGGGCAGAATTAATGAAATTCAGCTCCTTTCTTCCATTACTATTCTAAATCCCTCCCATGCTAAAATACAGGCTGAATAAATCCAGCCATTTACCTCCTGCAGTCCTGTAAAATGTTGGGGAGTCAATTACAGCCCCAATCCCTCCACAGGCACCCACTTTTCTTAGTAAGTTGCATGAAGCAGGCCCCAGAGTTAAGCTGTAACGTTGTTTATTGGCCTGAGGTACAGAATGCTATGTAAACACAAGAACTGTATTTTGTTAACCTGGGTTTAGAGGTAATGCAAACTGGCAAGGATGTTACCTTAAACTGAGTAAACTTAATGATCTGTTTACCTCAGTATTAAGCCTAACAACCAGAAGCACTTTTCTAGATTTTCAGACAAGAATTGGGCGTGCCAATGATTAAATCTGAAATATTTGTATGTAGCATATTGCTAAGTAATACCCCTTTCTTTTCTATAGAATGTTTCTTTGGCCCTGTGCCTACGGAAAATATGCTTTTTAAGCATCTAATTCAGGTTGCTCCCAGACAAAATTCTTATTCTTCGGACACCCTGTCTTCTTCATAGAATTTTAAAATTGTCTTTCAAGTGCCATGTTCTCCTATTGCTGCTTCTTCCACCACTTTGATTTAGACCCTCAAAGACATACATACAGAACTCAGTTATAGGAGGGAAAATGTAATAGCTTTTTTGACTAGTAGCACTAAAAATCATTATTCTGGAAGAACCTGGGTTGCTAGAAAGTGACACACAGGCACATCCATATGACAAAAAAGGGGTGATTTTGTCCTTTGCAAGTCTAATCACTGGGTGGTGCTATTTTACCACAACAAGGCTTCCTATCAAAGTGTTAATTTACCGCCACTGTCTTCCTGCTTCGCTAACCTTAAGCAGATGGAAAGTGGAGGCAAACTCCTTTCGTACCATCTTCACGACAATCATTTGTCTAGTTTACACCGCTGGCATTCATGCTTATTTGACTTTCTATGAGCACCAAGGGTGCCATAAAACAGAAGGCAACCGTGAACACAAAAGGTCCTCTGATAAAAGAGTGATGGCTTTCTGTCCGGAGTTAAGTTAAAAGACAAACAAGTGAGAGCCCAACCCATCACCCCACCCCACAACTACCTTTAAATACTGCCACAGAATGATTTAACAACAGGGACATTTTAGTTGGGATTCTCTAGGCCAGTGTTTCTCAACCTCAGCAATTGTGAGATGTGTGGACTTCAACTCCCAGAATTCCCCATGCATGAGAAACACTGATTTAGGCTCAAATGCAACCACTAGGCCTCCTGCTACACCCTGAAGATTAGGTCCCATGTCCAGCCAAACCCAGCGACTTTAGCTGTGTTTGGATAACGCTGCTCACAATAATTCATTCCTCCATTGGAAACACCCTAGCAGTCCGTGATCAGAGATGCCCTAGTCCAATGTTTCTCAAAGTGTGGTCTGAGGACCTCTGGGGGTCCCCCAGACCTGCTCAGGAGTCCTTGAAACCAAAATTATATATTAAATATTATCAATATTGAACACTAAACAATATTAAAATCCCATCAAATCATCATGAGAAGCGGTAGCGGCAGCGAATGAGTCCAGTTTAATTTTTAATATGGTAAAT